GTGGCTACTATTCAGGGCCCCGCGGCCGACGACGACGGCGTGCGCGCGCGAAGAAAAAACGAATGTGTCCCGCATGGTATTATTTGACAGGGATGATGGCCCTGGCAGGTGCGCAACCGTTGTTGCAGAAGTTCGAAAAAGTTGCTCGCAAAAGCCCGTTTGACAGAAATGTTTAAAAAGTGTTGGGTTTCCTACGAATCCGCAAGAGCGCGCGGGATGAAATTTTGACCATTTTTTTTTGAAAAACCATTGGTTTTTGATGTTTTTATGTTAAAATCGCTACGAAAACTAAGGTTTTGGAAAGATTTCGTCTTGCGCGCGCGAATGTCCACTTTACCTTATTTTTTGCAAGGGATTCTTGAAGTTTGGTTATGTTAGAACAAGAAATGTCCACTTTAGCTTTTTTTTGCAAGGGAAAACCGATCGTAACAACACAACCGGATCCGGACCAACCCGTTTTGCCTGAGACTTCCTCACGAAAATGATGAAAATGAGGCTGCGGCCTAGGCGCTCGTGCACCAGGGGCCCCAACAATAATTATTATTTAGAAGTAATAATGTTCAACAACAACAACAACAGCAACAACAACAATAACAACAACAGTAACAACAACAATAACAACAACATCAACAACAACAGTAACAATAACAACAACAACAACAACAACAACAACAACAACCACAACCACAACCACAACAACAACAACAACAACAGCAATAACAACAACAACAACAACAACAACAACAACAACAACAACAACAACAACAACAATCATTTAAGACTGGGGACACTCCGTTCTCACCAGTGCCAGGGTTTTCATAGGAGGCGGGCAATACCCCCACTTTGTGGGGGGGCCGGTTCAAGCTCTACCAAATTTCCAAACGACTCTTCGCCACCACCCACACCCAGCTTCCCGCCCTATGACGTTCGGACACTTCACTTCGTGGCATGCGGACGACCGTGGCTACTATTCAGGGCCCCGCGGCCGACGACGACGGCGTGCGCGCGCGAAGAAAAAACGAATGTGTCCAATATGGTATTATTTGACAGGGATGATGGCCCTGGCATGCGCGCAACCGTTGTTGCAGAAGTTCGAAGCACGTGAAAAAGTTGCTCGCAAGAGCCCGTTTGACAGAAATGTTGAAAAATATTGGGTTTCCTCAGAAATCCGCAAGAGCGCGCAAGATGATTTTTTGAAACTTTTTTTTTGAAAAACCATTGGGTTTTTCATGTTTTTATGTTAAAATCGCTACGAAAACTAAGGTTTTGGAAGGATTTCATCTTGCGCGCGCGAGTGTGCACTTCGTGTCATTTTTTGCAAAGGATTCTTGAAGTTTGGTTATGTTAGAACAAGACATGTCATTTTATAGTGTTTTTTGACAGGGAAAGCGGGCGTCAACAAAACAACCGGATCTGGATGACATCGTTTTACCTGAGACTTCCTGACGAAAATTATGAAAATGTGGCTGCGGCCTAGGCGCGGGGGGGGGGCGTGCACCAGGGGGCCCAACAATAATTATTCTTTAGAATTAATAATGTTCAACAACAAAAAAAAAAACGACGACGACGACAACAACCACATAAACAGCCTCATCATCATGACCATCATCATCATCAGCAGCAGCATCATCATCGTCATCATTGTCCTCATCGTTGTCGTCGTCGTCATCATCGTCACCATCATCGACATCAGCATCAGCATCATCGTCATCATCGTCGTCAGTATAATTTTCATCATCATCCTCAGTATCATCATCGCCATCATCAAACTCAACATCAGCATCATCATCATCATCAAAACCTCATGTGCATCGTCATGCTCCTCATCATCATCACCATCATCATCATCATCATCATCAGCATCGTCGTCATCATCAGCATCATCATCATCATCATCATCATCATCATCCTCAACATCCTCGGCACGTAGAAAGTCCCGGAGGGTTTGGCGAAGAAAGACATGTGAAATACCATAGTCGGGGGGGGGGGGGCGGCTCGCGTATCCCCACCAGCCCAGCGCCCTGTAAGCTCAGCACACCTCCCCTGCGGCTCCTGGGACCCCCAAGACTGCTCAAGATGGCCCCACATTGCGACAAGACGGCCCAAGATGGCCTCAAGACGGCCCGATTTGGCCTCATAACATCCCAGGATGACCCCGCGACGGCACAAGAGAGCCTCAAGACTCAAGAAAGCCCGAGCCCCAAGAAGCACACATCAATGATTTACTAAGGTATTCGAGTGTGGTGGCGTTCTCGCCTTCGCGCAAAGGGCAGCCTAAGACGGCCGAAGAGGCCTCCAAGAAAACCCCAAGACGGCCTAGAGGCCTTCATGACGGCGCAAATCAACCCCAGATGGCACAGCTCAAGACGACCCCACGGCGACCCCACAGCCCAAATTAACCCCAAGATGGCCACAAGACGGCCCAAGAGAAAACAGTGGTTCAAGTTTTTGTATGATTTGGGCGTTCTCACCTTCTCGAGCTTGTGACAGCCCAAGACGGCCGAAGAGGCCTCCAAGACGGCCCCAGGATGGACTCTAAAGAGCCCAAGAGACCTCTAACGCGGCCGTACTGCGCCCCAAGAGGGGCCCAAGAAGGCGCGGAGGTTCCCAGACGGTATCCGAAGGTGTCAAATGAGCCAAGAGCGCCCCAAGACGGCCCAAGAGGGCTGGGATGCACGAACTGATATGTCAGAACCTGTACCCCAAGATTACCCCCGAGACCGCCAGCAGGTCCCCGAGAGGCCCTCAAGAGGCCCCCGCGTGCGCCCAAGATTCCCCAAGGAGGCACACACGAGGCCCTCAGGCGGCCCCCAAGAGGCCCGCCACCCCCTGTGGCTTGCCACAGAGGTGCATGGCGAGCTGGACGTTGGGTTGTTTGGCCCTTCCAAAGGTTTCACAAAGGCCTCCGACTCAGCCCACGGGCCACGCAGAAAGCCCGGGAAAGCTCAGAAAAATGTACAGTCCGTCGGCCCACCCGCTCAAGACTGCCCCAGAAGGGCCTCCAAGACGGCCAAAATGGCCTTTCAGACTACTAAGATGGCCTCGAGTGCCGGAGATGGCCCCAAGATGTCTCCAAGATGGCCGACGATACACCCAAGACGGTCCAAGATAGCTCAGAATGACCCACGAGGCCCCCAAGAGGCCCCAAGAGGGCTCCAAGAGGACCTCCAAAGGCCAAATTCGTGGATGTTCCTCTGGTTTTTTAACGTTTTTAGCGTTTTCGCTTTTTCGGGATTCCGACGCTCCAAGACGGCCCCATAAGCCCCCAAGCTCGCCTCAAGACGGCCCGACGGCCCGAAGGGGGCCCGTAGGCATTCAGGACGGCCCTGAAGCGCCCAAAGAGAGACCCACGACTGCACAGAGAGAGCCCCCAAGACGCCTGCCGACGGCCAAGAACTCCATTAGAGGCCCCTGGAGGCCCCCGAGACGAACCCAAGACGCCCCAGGAAGAAGCCACCAAGAGACCCCCCAGGGGCCCCCCCGAGGCTCCCAGGAAGCCACCAGGAGGCCCCAAGAGGGCACCAGAGTCCACCTCCTCCTCCTCCTCCTCCTCCTCCTCCTCCACCTCCTCCTCCTCCTCCTCCTCCTCCTCCTCCTCCTCCTCCTCCCTCCCTCCCTCCCTCCCTCCCTCCCTCCCTCCCTCCCTCCTTCCTTCCTTCCTTCCTTCCTTCCCTCCTTCCCTGCTCCCTCCTCATGGAGCGGCCTGTGTCATGGACGTGGTAGAGCGATGCTGCCTGACCGCGCGCACCGCGGCAGGAGCCGCGCAAAGGGCAGCCGCATCCGCCGCCGCCGTCGCAACTGTCGTCGACGCCACCGACGCCGTGATCGTCATGGTCGTCCCTCCTGATCCTCCAGGAGAGGGAATAAGTAGGAGGATCTGGAGGATCAGGAGGAGGAGGACGAGGAGGAGGAGGAGGAGGAGGAGGAGGAGGAGGAGGAGGAGGAGGAGGGAGGAGGGAGGGGGAGGAGGGAGGAGGGAGGAGGGAGGAGGGAGGAGGGAGGAGGAGAAAGGAGGAGGAGGAAGGGAGGAGGAGGAGGAGGAGGAGGAGGATCAGAAGGAGGATCAGGAGGGAAAAGAGGAGGAGGAAGAGGAGGAGGAGGAGGAGGAGGAGGAGGAGGACCGCCTGCCAGGAGGCGCGCTCGCCTCCGGCCCCGGGGCGCCGCTGCCCTAAGAGCCGCCGCGCGCCCTAGAGCGCCCGGCGCCTGGCTCGCCGGCGGGGCGTCGACGGCCTCGCCCTCCGCGGAGAAGCGCGGAGGGCGGGCAGCTCGGAGCCGCCGGGCCGGCGCACCTCCGCCTCCGACGGGCGCGCGACGCCGAGTGCCTCGATGGGGCCCACCAGTACCCATCACGATTGCACTACTTCATCAGCTCAGGGCGGCTATCTTATCACAATGCCCAGTACGGGAGCAGCCGGGCTGGCGCACCTCCGCCTCCGACGGGCGCGCGACGCCGAGTGCCTCGAGGCGCGCCACGAACGGCAGGGCCTCCGGGTCCCGCACGCGTCGCGACCGCGCGCGCACCCACCTCACCATGCTCTCCGCCAGCCCCTGGGCCATCGAGTCGAGCACGCTCGGGGACGGGCCGCCGTCCATGAGGTGGCCGTCCAGCAACTCGGTGAACGTCTGTGCCGTCTCGGAGTCGACGCACGCTCGTGCTGGTGGAAGCCGCCTTTGCAGCGTATCGCCGAGCCCTTCTCTCAGTTGAAGGCGGGGTCTCGCCGTCACCCACGCGTGTCCTCGAACGAGGCGCGGACGCACCTGCATGTGGGGTGTTGATAAAGGCGTGGCCCTTGCTCTTCTGCATGCGGAAGCAGCGTGGCAGGTAGAGGTAATCGTAGGCACCAGCGAATCCGAAGGAGTTCATCAAAACCATGACTTCGGACTTCGTGCATTTGCAGGAATACCCGGGAGATGCAAGATCAACTCTCTTAGACTAAAAACGTTCCTTGTCCACTCCCTGGATCGATTCATTCTGTCAAACTGCTCCATCACCACGAATGGTACGATATCCCGATCAGGCTCCCACGAACAGCCGCTGTCGCGTGAAGAAGAGAACTAAAAAAAAAAAACTCGGCACAGGAAAATGAATAACAAGGCACAACCTGAAGCCGCAAACGGCTTGAACCAAAATGGTTTCAGCCAAAATGGCTGCGGAGGAGGAGGAAGAAGAGGCGGAGGAGGGGGAGGAGGAGGAGGAGGGGGAAGAGGGGGGGGAGGAGGAGGAGGAGGAGGAGGAGAGGAGGAGGAGAGGAGGGGAGGAGAGGAGGAGGAGGAGAGGATGAGGAGGATGACGATGACGAGTTGGAAAAAATAGAAAAAGGAAGGAGGAGCAGGTCAGCAGACAGGCAGGCAGGCAGGCAGGGAGCGAAGCAGGAGGAGAGGACGACATGGTAGGGAGGGAAGAGCGTAGAAGACCAGGAGGAGGAGGGAGAGGAGACTGGATGAGGAAAGAAGGAGGGAGGAGTGACATGGGAGGTGGGAGGAACGAGGAGTGCGGTTGGAATATTGGGGAATGAAGAGGATGAGGACCTTCATTCGCTCGCCACAACGCACGCTCGGTCGACTTTTGCCCGCGCGCGCGCGCGCGCGCTGCCAGAGCCAGTCAGACCCCAGCCGTGGCAAACTGCGGGGGCCGGCAAGCGCAGCGGGGCCCACCGCGGCCCAGGAAGGCGCACGCAGCAAGAGGCAGGCGTGCCTCTCTGCGCGTCGCCTGCCAATGCACAGAAGCAGGCGACACAGGGTGAGAGAGAGAGAGAGAGGCAGAGGAGGCAGAGAGGCAGAGGCAGACGCAGAGGAGGCAGAGGAGGCAGAGAGGCAGAGGAGGCAGAGGCAGTGGAGGCAGAGGCGACAGGGTGGAGAGAGAGAGAGGCAGAGGCAGAGGAGGGCGGGCGAGAAGCTGAAGGGCGGTGCGCGCAGGAGGGTCACGATGCATCCCGCCTTCCTCCCCACGACGCGCGCGCGGGCCAAGATCTCCGTGGCCAGTCAGGGCCTAGCCGTGGCAAGCTGCGGGGGCCGGCGCCGTGGCGGGCCCCACCGAGATCCGAGGACGCGCACGCGCAAAGAGAGGCGGCCACGAGCGGCCATTGCGCAGGGGCCGGGCAGCCAGATAGCCGCGCGCCTGCTGCGAGGCGGAAGACGGGGCAGGGTCACAGCAGACGCCCAGGGCCACCGCGGAGGCGCCACGCCGACGCGAGAGCCGCCAAGGCGCGCGAGCCGAGCAGCCTGCGCGGGCGAAGCGCTTGGAGCGGCCTCGACCCGCGGTGCCAGCCCCGCCGCGAGCGAGCGAGGCCTCGCGCCGACGGGGAAGGCCAGCAGCCGGAGAGCAGCGACCAGGAACGGCGACACGCCGGAAGCATTCTCAGCCGAAACTCTGGCAGCGCCACGGGCTAAGCGGACCATGCCCACGGAAGCCGCACGCGGCTGCGAGGAGGCACGCCAGTGAACGTGCCCAATACGAGGGGGGGGGGGGGGGGGCAGCCCACGAGCACGCAGCACAGGGCAGAAGAAAGCCCGCGCGCCTACGCCAGCCCAGCGACGCGCAGGCGAAGCGCTCGAATCCACGTCAGCCCACGCCGCCACCCGGCCGCGATGGGGCGAGAACCACGCGCGATGATTACCACTGCTGGGCACGGCGTCGTCAACGCCGCCGCAAAGGTGAGGAAAAACGGCGAACGGCCTATCTCGAAGGGCCAGGAGGCGCTGGAGCGGAAGCAACAGCCTTGGGAGAGAGGCCAGACCACGCAACGATCTGGAAGGGGGGCACGCCTCGCTGTGAAAAGGCGCGCGGGCAACTGATGAACGCCGGCGGCGGCAGCAGCAGCAGGAGCGTCGCTCGCCGCCGCAGCTGAAGAGGGGGCAGCGTGCTCGCCCTTGTCGGCAAAGTGGAACCCACCCCCCTGGAATAAGCTCGGCGACGCAGGCGCTGAGGGAGAGGGGCTCGCAGACTGCGGCCCCCTCAGGGCGCCGGCGCGAGACGCCGCCGTCGACGCGCCGGGAATGCCGTCGCTGGGGCCGACCGCGAAGTCGAAGGAATCGCACGACGAGTCTGACCCGCAGCCCCCGCGGCATGGGCCCCCGACCCTGGCGCGCGAGAAGTCATTGAAAAGACGATGCTGTGCCGAAGCCCAACTGGGGCTCGCGCCACTCTGCGACGTCGACGCGGGTCGCGACGGGGTCTCCATCATCACTGAGCTACAAAGGGGCCATCGCGCATGGACGAGCGCGTTCCACTACTCGCAGAACGACTACTCGCAAAAGGCCTGGATACGCCGCGGGGGATCTCCGATGAATTACAACAAAGCCGACATCTGTTTTTCGGACGTTTGCGAGTAGGCACTTTGCGAGTAGTCTTAAGTCAGGCCTGTCCCCCTACAGGGGGGGTTTTCGACGAGAAATAATAAATACCCCAAAAATGATCCAAAAAAATACATTTTCCGTCGAAAATCCCCCTGTAGGGGGACACGCCCGACAGAACACGTGTCACGCGTGCGGAGCTACGCCGTCGATGCTGCGCTTTCCCGCGGCTTCGCCGCGTTCCTGCTCGCGGCGCACACCGACGGAGGCGGCGGAGAGCTGGAGAGAGATCCGCCCGCGGAACAAACAAGGGACCTCTGCGGGCGTCGGGGGACGCGCCCGACGTAAGAGTAGCGGCACGCGCCCTGCGGCCGCTTGCCTATTGTTTCAGTTGTTTTCTATATGTTTGAGGTATTTTGGGGGTATTCTTTATTTTCGTCGAACATCCCCCTGTATGGGGGACACGCCCGACATAAGAGTACCCATCGGTCGGAAGAAGTAGGTAGAAACATGAAGTAGGAAGGCGTTGGAAATAGATTGGGTTTCCGCCCGCCTCCTGAGGAGGAGGGAAGAGGGAACACCGCTCGACTCTTGAAGTAGGGAGGCGCTGAAAGTAGATCAGGACTTGGGCATCCAAAAATAGCTGCTTTCAACGACCGATGGGTAGTGGCACGCGCTCGGCGCGCGCAGCGGCTCCGAGCCGCTGCGCGCGCCGAGCGCGTTCCCCTACGGGGGGATTTTCGACGGAAAATAAGAAATACCCCAAAAATATTCCAAAAAGGTAGAACAGTACTCAAAGAATACTCCCCAGACTGTTTTTGGACTATGTTTGGATTATTTTGGGGGTATTTTGTCCGACGAAAATCCCCCTGTAGGGGAACGCGCTCGGCGAGCGCGGCGGCTTCGAGCCGCTGCGCGCGCCCCGCGGCCGCGTGCCGGACGGGCCACGCGCCTGCGGCGCACGCGGTTGCGGTTGCGGCGGCGCTGGGCGCGGCGGCGCGCGCGCCCTCGCCGGCGCGGGGGCGCGCGGCGGCGGCGGCGGCGCCACCGCTGGGGCCAAAGGAAGAACCGCCCTCTCCGCTCCTACCTCCTCCTCCTCCTCCTCCTCCTCCTCTTCCTCCTCCTCCTCCTCCTCCTCCCCATCCGCCTCGCCTCCTCCCCCTCCTCCTCCCCTCCCGGCCATCACTGGGACCAAATAAGAACCACTTTATTGAAGGGGCCCTGGGACACACAAATAGATACACACAAATAAAAGAATTCCCCATAGTTTCCCGGATTGTTTTCTGGGTTTATGTCTTCTCCCCCACGGCCCATATTTTCCCGCATTTTCTGGGGAACCGACGATTCATTGTGTCTGTGTGCTTTTTCTCCTCCTGATTTATATCGCTATAGTATGATCGACGTCTGATGCGTTTCGGTCCTGGCCCCCACACACAGAGCCCTCTGGCTTGGCAGGCTCGCGCGCCTCTGCAGAAGGCACAGGAGGCCTCCAAAACCCTCCGAGAGGCTCTCCAGGCCTTCTCCGACCGGCAGACACGGTCTCCCAGAAGGCCACGGGGCTTCTGGGAGGCCCCGCCGAGTCCTTCCTGAGAAGGCCTGACCCTCTCACTTCCCCGCTCGGCGCGCCGCCGACGACCGTCGACGTCCAGGGACGAGCCTGTCGCCGAGGACGCTCCAGGGCGCTCCCGAACGCTCTCAGAGCGCTCGGGAACAAGGAGGAGGAGGGGAAGGAGGAGGAGGAGGAGGAGGAGGAGGAGGAGGAGGGGGAGGAGGAGGAGGAGGAGGAGGAGGAGGGGGAGGGAGAGGAGGAGGAGGAGGAGGAGGAGGAGAGGAGGAGGAGGAGGGGGAGGAGGAGGAGGAGGAGGGGAGGAGGAAGGCAGGAGAGGAGGAGGAGGAGGAGGAGGCGGAGGAGGAGGTGGAGGAGGATGGAGGGGGGGAGGAGTGAGGGGAGGAGGGGGAGGAGGAGGTGGAGGCAGGAGGAGGGGGAGGAGGAGGGGGAGGAGGAGGGGGGAGAGGAGGAGGAGGGAGGAGTGAGGAGGAGGAGGAGGATGGAAGGCGGAGGAGGAGGAGGAGGAGGAGAAGGGGAGCGAGGAGGAGGGGGAGGGGGAGGAGGGGGAGGGGGAGTGGGAGGGAGGAGGGGAGGAGGAGGAGGAGGAGGAGGGAGGGAGGAGTGGACGGGGAGGATGGAGGAGAGGAGGAGGAGGAGGAGGAGGAGGAGGAGGAGGAGGAGGTGGAGGTGGAGGGGAGGAGGAGGAGGAGGAGGAGGAGGAGGAGGAGGAGGAGGAGGAGGAGGAGGAGGAGGAGGAGGAGGAGGGGGAGGGGGAGGAGGACTGGAGCGAGTTGTCTGGCCCTCGCCCCGCGCGGCCCAGACCCCTGTAGCATCACGATGCCGCCACCCGGCGGGCGTCTCCTCCCGAGCTGTGCCGTGGAAGCCCAGAGGCGCGGCGAGAGCCCCAAGAGGCAGAGGATCGCAACAAAAAAAGAAAAACAACAAATAAAAATGAAAACGCCGAGCGGCTGTTCGCGGAGCGAGCGGGGGCCTGGGGATAGAAGGCCCTCGCTCCTCGACCGTCCATCCTCGAGCGTCGATCCTCGATCCTCGACCGCCGAGCGCGCCGATCTTGCAGGCGGACCGCCGGTCCTCGATGGCCCTGTGCTGCCGGGCGCGAGGTCCTCTGGCCCCCGACCCTCGCGGGCCGGAGGCAGAGGGGAGCAGCCTCGGGTCGGGCACGTCTTCCGACAAGCGGATCTTGGAGGAAAAACAGAAAATTGATTCATCGATGTATATATATATATGAAGAGAAACACAATAAAAAAATGATATTAGTAATATCAAAAGCATGTCAACAAAAACAAAAACAAAAAAGTCCCCAGACTGTTCCTTGATTATGTTTGCCCACTTCCCCTGCAGAGGGGACGTGACGTGCCCGACCTCGACCGAGCGGCCGCCGAGCGCGGGGGCCGCGCCGCGCAGAGCGGGGGGGCCGCGGCGGCGGGGGCCCCCGGATCATCAAGAGCTCGCTCGGCAAGCAGAGGGCCCCCAGCCTCGCTGCCGACCGCGACGGCGACGACGGCGACGACGACGGCGACGGCGACGACGACGACGACGACGGCGACGACGACGACGGCGACGGCGACGATGGCGACGACGACGGCGACGGCGACGAGGGCGACGACGGCGACGACGGCGGCGGCGAAGGCGGCGACCACGACAGCGGCGACGGCGGCGGCGAAGGCGGCGACGGCGGCGGCGGCGGCGGCGGCGACGACCGACCGACCGACCGACCCCCTGACCTCTCCTGGAACGAGTTCTTCATAGGATGACGTCTGTGGGAAAAAAAAACACGTCTGTGCTTTGTGTGCTTTTGTTTGTTTTGTGTATTTTGTGTGTGCTTTCCCACAGTGTGTGTTTTTCCCACAGTGTGTATTTTGTTCCCACAGACTCTCCTGGAACGAGTTATTCATAGGATGACGGGGCGGGTCCAGCCGGGGCCAGGTGGGCGCCACCCGAGCCACACAGGGCCGCGAACTCCCAGAAGCATCGATCGGCAACCTTCGATCTGACGCCTTCGATCCCGAGAGGCTTTCGGACGTCGTCGATCCATTCCGTGGCTCGAAGGCCTCCTGATGCCCTTGCTGCGCTGCTGACTCCTGGCCCTCTCTGGCACGTCCACCATCAGTGGCATCAGCAGCCACACTGCTGAGGAATGAAGCCGTGTTGCAGTCTCGAGAGACAGCTGGTCCCCCACTGTACCACACAAAGGCAGACCCGAGCGGCGGCGCACACCTTTGATAACTTGGCAGATCGGCAGCCTGCCTGCCTTCGGTGAGGCATGGGACACCCTTGGGCAGCACCCGTACTCATCGGCGTGTCGCGACGAGGCGTCGCGCGGCAACCGCTCCGCCGCTCCCCCATGTGGAGGGGGAACCCGAGCGGCAGTGCAAACCTTATGTCGGGCGTGTCCCCCTACAGGGGGATTTTCGACGACAAACTAAAAAATACCATCAAAATACCCCAAGAAGGTCAAAAAATACTCAAAAAATAGTCCCAGGCAATTTTTGGACTATTTTTGAATATTTTTGGTTGATTTTTCAGTTTTCGTCGAAAATCCACCTGTAGGGGGACAGGCCCGGCTTAACCCATGTGGAGGGGGAACCCGAGCGGCAGTGCAAACCTCATGTGGGGCTCTAATCCAAACGGATGCATTGCTGGACAGACTTCTGGAGATCAGCTGCCGGCGGCCGCGTCTCCGAGTCACGAGGATGCGGCACGAGGAGCGGCAGCCGCCACTCCCGCTCGGGAACCCAGACGGCGAGCCAGACCTGCTGCGGAACAAAATCAAGATGGACACGTTTTGCGCGAGCTGCGCCGGACTCCCGAGCTGCAGCTGCACTCCTGAACGCATTGCGCGTGGGCCTCGAGGGAACGGCCTCTCCCCCGCACTCCCAAGGGAAACCAGCTCGGTCCCAATCCCCAGCCTTCGCATGCAGTTCGACATCGGGTGGCCCGTCAAAATGGATACCACCCTTCTTCTGCAGCGAAGAATTTCGAAGGAGGAAGAGGAGGAAAGCTAAGGGGACGAAAGCGGCCATGCGCGCGCCGCAACGCGAGCGAATGCAGCGCTCTGGCCAATGAGCGACTGCACAAAATGCAGCGAGTACAGTGGAGGCCAGTCCACAAGAAACCTTCCACAAGAAACCCAACCCTGAGACCCCAGGACGTCCACGGATGTTTGGCGTGGGCACGTCGCGCTCTCCACAGAAAAACCATCGAGGCCCAAGAAACCCAGGGCACCCTGGAGGCAAGCAGGATGTCTCTTGGCATGGGCCCCTGCTGTATGGATACAACCTGTAAGCCAAGCTGGTGGTGAGCAATAACGTGCCGAGGTAAATCTCGCGCGAACCTTCTGGTCTGCGGCAGCTTGGCTCTAGCAGCGTTCGGAGGGCGCTTCCGAAGCGAATTGAAACACCGAGACAAGCGCGGCGGGAGGCGGAGGGAGCGGGGGGGGGAAAGAGAGCGCGATCAGAACATGCAGTCCATGTGCGCGAGTGCCGGAAGTGCGCAGTACGAAGTGGAAGTCCTTGCTGGGCCGCAAATCTCACGAACAGCCATTGCTCGGGAGAGGGCAGCCCACTTCACCGAGACGCGCTGTTCGAATCACCCTGGCATGGACTGCGAGGAAGATCGCCGCCTCAGTCTGCTTTCGCTGGTGTCGAATCAAAGGGTCTCAGTGTCCCTGCTCCTCCCGCATGCATATCATCCCTCTCCCTTCCTCAGCCCTCAATCTCTTCATTTTTCCGTTGTCCCTCATCCCTCCGCCCTTTTTGGGTTCCTGGCTTCCCGCCCCCTCCTCCGTTCGTCCATTTCCGACGCTGGAGGAATGGGCAAAATCGGCTCACCAGCCGCGCCAGCACCCCTCGTGGGATCTGTCCAGACCCCCGCTTTCCGATCCGCGCCTGGCCGTGGCCACGACAAGGTGCCCCGACACCCGCCCCTCCGAACAAAACAACAGCAAAATTGGAAAACACTTTTTCCCAACCCCCCGTGGTTGGGTATTCGTTTT